CAATCTCAGAACATAAAACCATACAGTGTTGGGGTTCTTCGGGTTCTTTCTTCAGTCTAGTAGTGGTGGCAGTTGGCCACACAGGTGCCCGATTTTATTTTTTTAATTGGTATTTAAAAATTATTTTGCCGATATTGAAAAAATGTAATATATGGGTCATCTTCTAATCTATAACCTAGCTCACTAGAGACCTGATGCTGGCCGTCTTTTGTTATGTGAGCCGGATCACTTCGTTACACAGACTGTTTATTTACTTGCAGCAGATGTTTTACACAGATGGTGGTGATGTAGAAGGAAGATGTTTCAGATTCAGTTACAAACTCACTGTCTGACAACAGTTTTCAGCTTTAAATCTCAAATGCACAAGCGCGAGTCCATTTGCACAGATGTAGGAGTCGAACAGCAGCCCTAAGCAGCTCCGTGCAGGTACAAGGCCAGGAATTTACTGAAGGTTTCAGGTTTGTATCCTGCCAGACCTGCTGGAACCTGCAAAGAGTCACACAGAAGTCCATCAGACCCCCTTTTGTCCCATAATCGATATTGTACAAACCATTTATTTGATTTAAAACACAGGTAAAGTGTGGATCTGACTTAAATATGCATCAAACATACAGAACATCATAAACACCTGCATTCCTGCAGGAACAGAGACTCCAAATAAAGCAGGTATCACCAAAGTATTCAAATATTTGCTGCAGTTCAGGAAGAAATTCATTCAATTCCTGTTACAAGGAAATATTTCTAAATGGATAGGATGAAAGGCAGTAATGAGTGTCACACACTCGGAAACGTCTGACCAAGTCCTCCAGAGAGAGTCTGACGGTGCCGAGAGCTGGCTCATAGAGGGGTTTCGTACCTTCACCTGCTTCTTCTTGATGAGTGGTCGCACCTTTGCAAAATCATACAGCTCAGCATCTTCATCCAGCCACACCTGCAGTGGGCAAACATGCCAGAAACAGTTTACTTTTAGTTTCTTGCACCAGAAGGTCTAAGAACAGCGGTTACAACATGCTTTCAACAAGTCACAAGAAAGGATCTTCATGTCCTGAATGACTTCAAAGGAATCCCTCAGAAAACACACCAAAGAGGAAGCTGTTGGATCGACATTATTTATAGGTTACAGAGAAACTCCTGTCAGAAGGACCAGAAAAGCCCTTTAAAGTCCCTCCCTTCCTAGCCATTGGAAGCAGGGTGCTTTCACGCCTGGCTAGGTCAGGCGACCGGCAGGAAATCCCCCAGAACTTGACACCTTCATTTGCTTTGCTTTGCTGTCCCACTGCATCTTTACAAGGGCACAAAGCCAGCTGTTGTGGGGAGGGCTCCTGCACCTCCTCACTGCTCCACGTCGGCTCACCAGACATTCCATTTACCCGTCAGCTGTCTTTCTCCTCCCGGTTTGCTTTCCACACTGGGAGGGACCTGCACCAGGGTTCAGGTGCAACCAAACTAAGACTGCTTTAAAACGAGCCCCAAGGAAGAACCCAAACTAAGGTCTGATACATGGATCAAACGGCGCTAGCAATCCAAAGGGTTCAAACGGAGGCAGCTGGACTTTTCTTAAAGACGTCTTCGAGAAACCAAAGAAGTCCAGTTGCCTCCATTCGAACCCTTTGGATTACCGTGACCTGAACGACTGAGAACCGCCACCCGCAAGCGGCGCCGGTGTCAAAGTGAAACGTTTGATTCTCTCACATGGGTCTTCAGTGCACACAGCCCACCTGGTTCTTGATGCCATCATCTCCAGAGAGATCCGTGGTGTTGAGCTGGAATACGAGGAACTGAAAAATTCTGCCATTGGTCCCCACCGCCTGTACTGTGATTGGATGCTCCAACAGACTCCTGGGCTGAGTCTGACACAAAATAAAACACAAGGCTGACTGTGTGTGTGTGTGTGTGTGTGTGTGTGTGTGTGTGTGTGTGTGTGTGTGTGTGTGTGTGTGTGTGTGTGTGTGTGTGTGTGTGTGTGTGTGTGTGTGTGTGTTGGATGTCCTTACGCCAAACAGTTTGTGTGCACGGGCCAAGGCGTTGCCAAATGAGAACATGACCATCTTGGCTCTGAACTGCTCAGGTAGTAGCTTAAAGCCGGACTCCTCTATCTCCAGGAGGTAGAGTGTGTGGGCATGAGGGTAGGCGTAGTCCCCTATGAACCCTGGTTAAACGTGAGACATAACGTAGCTACCAGAGTTACAATCACACTAACAGAGACCTGGACACAGTAAGCGAACAGAGCAGGGACAGGCTCACCTGTACAGTTTACATCCTCTTGGTAAACGTTTACTTGCTGCAGGTCGATGGTGGGGGACACCGGGTAGAAGGTTTCCAAGATGTGATCCGACGTTCCAACCACTTCGTCTTTCCCACAGACCCCTGGGAGAGGATCCATGGCGCATTGCAGTAAACCGTTCTGACCCCTGACCTGGAATAGGTCTTCACCTAATGCATGAAACAAAAGTTAGTGAAAACGCACCAAAACCACGGTGGCGGCGGTGTGGTGTCTAAAGTGGCCTCAGTCCAGCAGCAAATACAAGCAGCTACTTCACTCCATTAGTATGTGCTTGTATATGCGTAATCACATTATCATCATCGTGAAATTAACATCAAGTAGGTGGACGTTTACTAACGATGAGACATGTTTTTGGACTCATTGATATTGTATGCTTGTTATTTTTCTCAGAAACCTCTCTGGTTCAGCAGCTAAGCTAGGTTTGATGCTAGTTAGCATGCTGCTCAATAATGTTCAAACTAGTTTACTGCAACCGGAAGACAGGAGAAACAAGTTAGCAAAATAAAGCAGCCTCGTGTAAATTTGTGAGAGAAGTTCCTTCTCCTGGGCATAAACGTTTGTCTGCAAACAACGCAAAAGGCCACTGGGTGGCGCCAAGAGGCCATGGTTATTGAGGATCTGGTCCAGAATTAAGTACCCTTAATTACAGTGCTGAAAACCAACACATGCAATTCACTTAATTCAGCATTCAGCACAAAAAATTAAACAAGCCCAAGTGTTGCCTCATCTCCTAAAAGATGAGTCAGAAATCCTTTGATTCCTAGAGAGAGGTCAGGCTCCATCAGCTGGTTTTTTCCCCTAACCTAGGGATGGGTACCTTTGACATTTGAATCGATTCGGTACTAATGCCCGGTACCTAGGAATCGATACCGGTACTTAACGGTACCAATTTTCGATACTTTTGAGTGTTTAATATTTTAATTCTCTTTTATAATTAAATACATATTTTTCTCAATATATAACCATATTTGATAAATATCACGATAAATAACATACAACTGTTTGTATTTTAACATCGTTCTTGTAGTTTTATAAGCTGATAATTAAACTGAAGCAAACATCTTTACTGTGAACTAAATTTACTGTGTATCTTCATTCCTTTTGCCGTCCTTTTTCATTTGATTTTTCCTACTGGGAAGTTAGAATTTCCGAGGAGAAATCGAACGCACCATTAGCTGATAACAATGGTGGCATAGGAAGCTAACATATCAAGCTAACGTTATCTTAAACAGTTTATTTAACTGCTGGAGCAGATTAAACCGACGATGCCTCACACTTAGATCGTTGTCGCTGGTTTCATCTTCACCCAATCACCCGTCGCATTTAGTAAAGTGAAGCCAAACTTTAGAGCGCATTCATGTTCTTCTAGTCGGAAATTCGGAGTTCCGAGGAGAAAGTGAACGCACCATTAGCGAAACGGAAGCTAACATATCAAGCTAACGTTATCTTAAACAGTTTATTTAGCTGCTGGAGCAGATTAAAACGACGATGCCTCACACTTAGATCGTTGTCGCTGGTTTCATCTTCACCCAATCACCCGTCGCATTTAGTAAAGTGACGCCAAACTTTAGAGCGCGTTCATGTTCTTCTAGTCGGAAATTCGGAGTTCCGAGGAGAAAGTGAACGCACCATTAGCGAAACGGAAGCTAACATATCAAGCTAACGTTATCTTAAACATTTTATTTACCTACCGGAGCAGATTAAGATGAGGATGTCTCACTTAGATCGTGTCGCTGGTGTCATCTTCACCCAGTTACCCATCACATTTAGTGAAGTGGACCCAAGCTTTAGCGTGCGTTCTTTCTACCATGCTGCTCTGTTTACAACTCGCTCACAGCGACCGACACATAACGCTCTTGCGCATGCGCAGCTGTCTAGGCAAGTTCTCGTTGTGAAAGACGGGTACCGAAACGAAGCACCGTTTCAAATGATGTGAATCGGTGCTCAGTCGGTACTATGGAATTCGGTCGGTACCTTAAAAAGTACCGAATTCAGGCTACCCTAATCCCTAGCCCTAAAATAAAGAGTCACATTATTCTGACTTTCATCTAGCCTGAACCGTAAACAGGACATGTTGTCTAACAGGAAGTTGGTTCATATCCAGAAAGGTTTCTTATAATCATCTAAAAAAATAACAGCTAAATAAATAACCAACTCTGGATAAAATACCTCTCCTCCAAGTGGCAGCCAGTGAATACTTCTCAGCCAGGATCCTCCTCCCGATGGCCGGGTGACTAGACCGTTGCGCTGCACATAAGTGAAGCAGGTTGAGGAGCAACGTGTGGCTGAAAGGTAAAAAGAGTAGGCCTGTAGAGCTTTTCTCACATGGGGATGATGATGGTGCAGTTCTCTGGGAGGCGTACTTTTATAAACTCTGATTTATTTTGTGAAAACCCTACATTAAACCAGACACAGCAGCGCTTCAGCGGGTAGCAAAGGTCATGAAGGAAAACAATCTGTAGAAAACAAATAGGTGTCAAAACTTAAGAGCCTATAATTTAAATCATTTAGCTGCAGTGTCAGGAGTTTTAATCTACAGATAAAACACAGGAATAAAGACCGATCTCTGGATTCTGTAGATTTTGTTGGAAACTTAGTTTCCTGTGATCTTCTGGATTCTTTGACTCCTTGGAGCTTTATTTGGACGACTAATCTTTCGGATCCGATGGAGGCAGCTCAGCTGAAGTATAAACTCTGCAACTTTGAAGCTTTTTGAATGTCTGTCCTCGCTCTTCTTCTGCCCCACAATGGCACCTTTATGCTTTCTAAAGCAAATAAAAGGACCCAGAACCTTTAAGAGGATGTACGACGACGCTCTGCTGAACTGCAAAAGAAGGAAATGTTGCGGGGTAGTTTTAGAACTGGTCTCCCTTCACTGACCGAGGCAATTGTCAGCCAGTTGGAAAAGGAAACATCCATGCAGAACTCTCTGCTCCAAGACGCCATTGCTTGGGAACCCTCTGCACCACGACTATCAGCTTCCAGCTTCCTTCCTTAAAGTAGCATTATGGAAGTTTGACAGCCAGAACATGTATAGAAATAATAAATGTCTTCTTCATACATTCTCCTGCAATGCCCTGGTCCTGTAGAATGAACCCTGGCATTTTTACTGTGATTGCCTGTTTTTCTGTAAAATCACAGAAAAAGAGAGATGCTCGGGTCGAGCAGGCTGCTTCATGCGCGTTCACGCTCAGGCATAGCCCGTAGCATTTGCTATCCGTAGCTTTAGCAGCAGAGAGAGAGGCAGTGCCACTTTGTCGCTGTTCCTAACGCCTAGTGACAAAGCTAGCTACATTTCTGAGGACCCTTAGCTACTTTCTGTAGAACTTTCTTCTAGATATTTCCTGCAAATTAGCAACAAAATAGCCATTTTTGCTCCGAACCGTTCTTTGAACGTTGTTTCAGCTGTCATCAAGGATATAAATGTTACAGATACAAAGGATGTCACTGGTGCTTTAGCTCACCTAGTAAGATGTCGGACTCTCATGCAGAAGACCTGGGTTTGATTCTGGATGTGAACATAGTTTATTTAGAGTTTTTTTTACATTAATGGTATATTTTTTTTACAGTAAGATGCCCAAATTTTTATTTGAGACTCGCCGAACGGCATTGAATTCACAGATAAAAAAGATGTGGGTTCAACTTTCATTTTGGAACAATTTTTCAAGCAAGGGAAGGGAATGATCTGAGCATGCAGGAGGACTGACCCATCTTAAACCTTTGTCAGCTGTGCTGAAGAGAAAGGTACAGAACCAAATTGTTTCATTAATTAGCTGCACGTTCTCCTGTCCTCTGTTCCCCCCCCCCCCCCCCCCCCCACACACACACACACACAAGGGACTGTCTCAGCTGTAATTTTCGTTAAGGAGTGTGCACGTACAGCATGCGCGCCTCGTGCACGAGCCTACTATTGAAGCTGCCGTTACGCTTTTGGCCTGAGGGGGCAATCGCAAGCATAAAATTTCAAAACTCCGTAAAGTCCCTTTAACTCTTTTGTAGGAGAGCTCCTGTTGGTGATCGTTTGGAACAGTTTCTCCTTTTTCAGGCGAGATGGTATTCACCCTAACCGACATGGCTCAAGCACGCTGATCGCTAGCATCCGGTATGCTGTGCAGTCCCATAGATACACACCTGTGGTGGATTCTCTTTCACAGACACGACGGTTTACATCCCAACCATCGATACCTTCTTTGGCCATCGCTCACACCACCTCCCTCTCCAACAGGTAAAGAAGACAAATGTTCTCCAGGAGTCAGTTCAGTGTCCTCTGTTAGATGCCTCTCCATATCAAACAAATACTTATTTTAAAGGAGCTGTTCACCAGAGAAAAGTTGCCCATCACGTCGTGGTGGAGGTCTTGCTGTGGTATTTAAAGAGTAACTAAACCCCCAAATAACTATTTTTTTGCTTATAAACTGTAAAATTGGGTCTTTACAAATGCTATCTTTCTATTTCTGTGCATTTTTGATATGTTTGTGTAAACTTGATTAATCTAGAATCTAGGTCTAAAAATGTCTTAGTGCTGCCCCCTGTGGGTTGAACTGTGGCTACTGCAGTTTAAATGTGTGATTGACTGGGGCTGGTACTATTTCACGTCATCAGTAGCCTCCTCCCAGTCCTCCCAGGATGGAAATTCCCCATACATGTCCAATCTAACATGGGTCGTCACGGTGTGAAAATGTAACCTCACGGTTATTTAGACCAAAATTATCACGGTTTTCGGTATTGTCACTGTATTTTTTGTAAACGTGTTACATTTTCAGACAACACTGTACAGGTGCTGGCCAGTAAATTAGAATATCATCAAAAGGTTGAAAATATTTCAGTAATTCCATTCAAAACGTGAAACTTGTACATTATATTCATGCAATGCACACAGACCAATGTATTTCCGATGTTTATTACGTTTAATTTTGATATTTATAGGTGACAACCAATGAAAACATCAAATCTGGTATCTCAGAAAATTAGAATATTCTAAAGGCCAATGAAAAAATGTTTGTTTCTCTAATGTTGGCCAACTGAAAAGAATGAACATGAAAAGAATGTGCATGTATAGCACTCAATACTTAGTCGGGGCTCCTTTTGCCTCAATAACTGCAGTAATGCGGCGTGGCATGGACTCGATCAGTCTGTGGCACTGCTCAGGTGTTATGAGAGCCCAGGTTGCTCTGATAGTCGTCTTCAGCTCCTCTGCATTGTTGGGTCTAGCGTATTGCATCCTCCGCTTCACAATACCCCATAGATTTTCTATGGGGTTAAGGTCAGGCGAGTTTGCTGGCCAATCAAGGACAGGGATACCATGGTCCTTGAACCAGGTGCTGGTGGTTTTGGCACTGTGTGCAGGTGCCAAGTCCTGTTGAAAGGTGAAGTCTGCATCCCCATAAAGTTGGTCAGCAGCAGGAAGCATGAAGTGCTCTAAAACTTCCTGGTAGACGGCTGCATTGACCCTGGACCTCAGGAAACAGAGTGGGCCAACACCGGCAGATGACATGGCACCCCACACCATCACTGACGGTGGAAACTTTACACTGGACCTCATGCAACGTGGATTCTGTGCTTCTCCGCTCTTCCTCCAGACTCTGGGTCCTTGATTTCCAAAGGAAATGCAGAACTTGCTTTCATCAGAAAACATAACTTTGGACCACTCAGCATCAGTCCAGTCCTTTTTGTCCTTGGCCCAGGCGAGACGCTTCTTGCGCTGTTTCTTGTTCAAGAGTGGCTTGACACACGGAATGCGACACCTGAATCCCATGTCTTTCATGAGTCTCCTCGTGGTGGTTCTTGAAGCGCTGACTCCAGCTGCAGTCCACTCTTTGTGGATCTCCCCCACATTTTTGAATGGGTTTGTCGTCACAATTCTCTGCAGGGTGCGGTTATCCCTAGAGCTTGTACACTTTTTTCTACCACATTTTTTCCGTCCCTTCGCCTGTCTGTTAATGTGCTTGGACACAGAGCTCTGCGAACAGCCAGCTTCTTTAGCAATCACCTTTTGTGTCTTGCCCTCCTTGTGCAAGGTGTCAATGATTGTCTTTTGGACAGCTGTTAAGTCAGAAGTCTTCCCCATGATTGTGGTGCCTTCAAAACAAGACTGAGGGACCTTTTAAAGGCCTTTGCAGGTGTTTTGAGTAAATCAGCTGATTAGAGTGGCAGCAGGTGTCTTCTATATTCAGCCTTTTCAGAATATTCTAATTTTTTGAGATACCAAATTTGGAGTTTTCATTAGTTGTCACTTATGAATATCAAATTTAAATGTAATGAACATTGGAAATACATTGGTCTGTGTGCATTGCATGAATATAAAGTACAAGTTTCACGTTTTGAATGGAATTACTGAAATATTTTCAACCTTTTGATGATATTCTAATTTACTGGCCAGCACCTGTATATCAGGAAAATATTGTCCTCAGTTTGTGTCTAAATGTTGCCTAAAATTTGTTATTTTGTAATTATGTTGTTTATTTGTTCACATTTTTCCCCTTTAGTCTTTAAAATACCAATATTTGCCCATAACTTCTTATTTTTTGTCTGTTTGATGTCATCATTAAAAATATTAGATCAGATGATACTCAGTACTCAAGTCGCCTTCTAATCAGATACTTTTTTACCCTTACTTGAGTAATAAACCCTATATCAGGAAAATATTGTCCTCGGTTTGTGTCCTTCCAGTGAGCTTTGCAGATGTGGGAAAATGTCATCAGGCAGTAATCGTTGTTAAATTCATAATTATTCTCGGAGAGAGACCAACTCTTATCGGCCCCTGGGAGCCCCGTAATGCATAGCGTCATTTCAACATGGCGGTGTCCGCGACACGGTTTATATGCAGGTAGCGGCGCTGCGGCTGCTTTATATAGCCACTCGTTGCTTTCTCCCTCAACCCAAATCCTCGGATCACGCATTTTAGCTACAACGCTAACGTTAGCTTGCCTTGCGTTGACTGTAGAGTTGTGGGTGATGGTCACGCAGATGTGTCATGAGATTTGAAGCGTTGCTGCCTTTCACAGACACTTTTTCTGCACGTGCTGCAAACAGGATAGCCGTCTTCTATCAACTGTCCCTCGGCATTCTTCAGATATCCAAAAAATGCCCGTACTTCCCACTTTGTCTTCTTTGAGGGATAATAAATGTCCTGAGCGCTGCCGTCTCCTCCTTTGACCATTATTTCAGCTTTAGCTTCAAGAAAGTTTTGGTTGTAAACAACAAAGTGCGCATGTGCCGCCGGAAACTTCAGCAGATGATACGGTGGCTGGTAAGGGTCACCGCGCCTACACCGCAGCCACGGTAATCCACCGAGATGATAAAAAAAAAAAAAGACATTTATTATTATTGTCAACTTTTTTACCGGGGTTTACCGCTGCACCGGTTACCGTGACAACCCTCACAAACTGAAATCAGACAGGCGTATCATTAATCAGTCAGCAGTGGATGGATAATCTAGATTATTTGACATCAGCTCAGTTCAGGGTGATGATCCAAGTTTGTTAATCCAATCATTGAACAAACAATCTTGGACAAATTGGCAGAGGTTTTATCTAACAGAAGGAAAAGTCTGTTAGATTAATCCAAACATTTACAGTCTCAGAAAGACACGCCTCAGAGCCGATGGAAGTCAACTAGATTAGAAAGTCACAGAATGCACTTTAAAGAACTCGGGGTTTCCTCTAGGATTTTTTGAAACTGTGGCGGTGGGCTGTTGGTCCGTGGGGGGGGGGGGAGGGGACATACGGAGACATTCTAAGACATGAGACAGTATGTTTTTTAGTGAACGTTCCTGTAGGAGTGCTGCTGCGGAGCGCATCACCTGTTTTGTCCTCCGGTGACTTCACCCTAGTGGTGCAGCCGGCGAGCAGCTCTGCTATTTTTGCGGTCAGTAGATCTTTTTGAACTGCAGTTTAAAATTTCGCCATATTTAAATTAGTTTGTGATTATGGTTAGTATACATGCACAAATACACTATATATGTCTTGCATTTACATTGTTGTGATGTATATCCAAAAAATAAATTCTGAAGGTACGTTGTTTTAAAAAAATTTTACCTTCTGAAGGTGTGGCGGCTTGTATTTTGCCGCGGCACGCCGCCATGGAAAAACACACCTAGCGGAAACCCAGGAACTGATAACATCTTTGAATGAGATGGTGAAAAATTCCAGGGCCACTTACTTTACTCAGCTAATTGCTGTGAGTCTGGTTTGACACCGTAAACCAGACTGTTTCACCTCACGCCCCTCTTATGCCACTTTACTCAAGGTCTGACTGTAACAACTTTCTAGCATTCTTTGAGAATAAAATTAAAAATATCAGTGCAGGTTTTTCACCCCCATCTACTTCCTACTCTCCCATCCAACCACCTTCCTCCCAGTCATGGTCTGTCTTTACTGCTGTAGCTCTCCAGATCATTTGCCTCATTCAGAATCACATGAAACCAACTTCAAGCCCAGGGAACTCATTTATCAAGCTTGCTTACGCACAAAACGGGGTTGGAGAACTGCGTGAGCAACTTTCAATGCAAACTTTGGGATTTATGAAAGAAAATTTAGCAGAAAAATGTGTGCAACTTTAAGTTGACTAAGGACCTGACTTACGCACATGTTGGACCTGGAGAGCACCTGCAGTGCTGCTGCTGCTGAGAAGGATACAATTATGAAATCCTGCAGCATTATCACTTGTACCGCTTCGTTTTCACACAGAACAAGACCCCAACAGGCACACACATGCGCGCACAGCTCAGTGCCCTAGTGGTAGGGTGTCCGCCCTGAGACTGGGAGATCAGGGGTTCGATTCCTGGTCGGGTCATACCAAAGACTTATAAAAAAATGGGACCCAATGCCTCCTTGCTTGTCACTCAGCAGTAAGGGGTTGGATTGGGGGGTTAAACCACCAAATGGTTCCCGAGCGCAGCTATGTCTGCAGCTCACCGCTCCCCCAGGGGATGGGTCAAATGCGGAGAACAAATTTCACACACACATCAGTGTGTGTGACAACTAATGGGACTTTAACTTTAACAAACTCACACACGCGTGCACGCACACACACACAGCCTGAAGCGCAGAATACGGAATGCAGAATATCAGCAGGGGGACAGATTGAGACAGAACATCATGCGTCTGTGACAGTGTGTGTGTCCTGTCACTGTGACCCGATTGATCATGCGCCCTGGCTACTTGTACAAGGGAGATCTCCGTTTGGGTGACTGGTTAGCACGTGTGACTTTCACCTGGGAGTCTGGGGATCAAATCCTGTTTGGACCATTTTTTATATCCAACACAGATCTCTCTGAAGAACTCACAACATTGACGGCTTCAGCAACGCTGTGCCACTCCGTGGATTTTCTCTTGCTTGTTTTGCAAAAGCACTTCCTTTCATTTCTCCACCTCACCCACAGGTACCTCAACTTCTGCTTCTGTGAAATTGTGCTTCCTTGATCTGCCTTGATCTACGGTCGCCATCGTCATTGGCGGAGCGCTGCAACAGCTGGCTTATGTACATGCATGAGATCCACAAGGCACTTTGCATTGACCATTTATGGCAGTAAGTGGGCGTGGTGAGGGCGGGATGTGACTAAAATGCAGCTGAGGAACATTCTCGTTAGTCTCCGATTTACGAGGCGGAGATTGCGTGCAGCTGTGCGTACTCCATGTTTGATAGATCACTAACCTGCTTGGTGTAAGTACATTTTTTTGCTGTTTGATAAACGAGACCCCTGCTGATTTTATCCCCGTTTTTTTCTTTATGATTTCATGACGTTATTATTTGTTTTGATCTATGTGAAGCACTTTGTGATTTTATGTATGTGATGAGTGCTACATAAATAAAATGTACTTACTTACTAAAGCGCATGCATTATTATTTTACCTGTATTTCTCTTTGCTTGTTCGGGGCTCTGTGGTATCCCAGAACCGGGCGTGTTTGATGGCATCCTGCACACGCCGATCCTGATCTGGCAGCTGGTTTTCAGGCATCTGAGCCAATGAGAGGAGGTGAGGAGGCAGACCTGAGATCTTTTTGGATTTGGTCAGCCACAGGGCCTGGCGCACACCTGAGAAAAACAAAATAAATATTTTCACCAAACAAATATGCTTTACTCCAATGTTAGCTGGTGTTACATTAAAATGTGTTCCCCTGTCAACAAATGGTTCCTTGCTGATAAAATGTGAGTATAACGAAACAGAATTAAAAATTTGTATATGGAGGAGTAACGAGTCAGGGTACTCATTCTTGTACCCAACACAGGGTGTATCAGGCATCACGATGTTTCCCCTTAAGTGTTTTATTTAGCAAATTTCTAAAAATAGCCCTGCTTACAACTGAAGGGAAAACTCAAGTGAGAACTGTTGCTGGGGGAAAGCATTTTGACAGAACACTTGAACATTAGAACATCAGAAAGGAAAACATCTTTAGTGCAACACCAGCTCTCCCCAGAAGCACGTAATACTTTCAGACTGATTTTATTATGTATGCTACTCTTTCTTCACTAATTTGAACTAAAACTAAGCTGTTGGGGGAACACATTTCGACTCAACACTACCTTCCAGCACACTGGTCCTCTGGTTGAACACATAACACGGTTTCTCCTTGAACAGCGGCAACTCATGAGCGGGCGGAGACTTGAAGAATCTCGGGTCTTTGTAGTCCCGCTCCCACCGCGGGAAGACGGGCTTAGCCAACCCCGGGACAAAGTGCAATCTGTCCGCATAGGTGACCTGCTCCAGCCCGGGGATTTCCACCTTCTCCCTGACTCTCCGGGTCAGCGGGGGCTTGGCTGTCAGACAGCGGCTAATACCGAAGTTTCTCTGGCCATGGCGGGGACCGGGTCCCGCATTAGCACCGACACGTTTAGAAATGCTGAGAAAAACGTTCCGAGAAAACAAAAAAGACATCGGTTTTTTTGGGAGCATATTGCTTTCTGTTCAGCTTCTCCTCTTTGTTTCTAGCTGCAGTTGGGGAGGAATATGGGAAGGTAACTGTCGTCTTCTTCACGAGCTGCGCTAGGACGCCGCCATGTTGGTTCTTCTTCTTCTACTGTTGGTCATCACCGCCTCGCGCCACCTATCGGCCTGGAGGGTCTACATCTATCTATCTATCTATCTATCTATCTATCTATCTATCTATCTATCTATCTATCTATCTATCTATCTATCTATCTATCTATCTATCTATCTATCATCTATCTATCTATCTATCTATCTATCTATCTATCTATCTATCTATCTATCTATCTATCTATCTATCTATCTATCTATCTATCCCACATTACCTCTGAGCATGCGAAGGTTTATATTATTGTTGTTGTTATTAATAATATATTTTTACGGGTGGATGATCACTCTGACATTAGCTGTAAAAAAAGGCCCGACCAGTGACTTTAGATAGAGACCGGTCTCAAGGGCAGGGGGTGGGGGGTGGGGGGGTGATGGGTGAGTGTATGTGCGCGCGCGCGGAGTGAGAGCTGTGTTTTGTGACGTCACTGTCTGCCTTCTCCTGCGCCTGCACCATCCGCACCGCTCAGAAGGTGGAATTCTAACAAATCCACCCACATTAAAACCAATAGGATGTTATTTTTTAATCGTCCGTGGAGTCAGAAAGAGGGACTCAGAAAAATGAACCCCATTGATTCATTTTTCCCTGAAGGTTATTTTTCTGTCTTCCTGTCTGAAGAGGAGGAGGAGGAGGAGGAGGTGGATGTGAGGGCTCGGGATGTATCCTGGAGGTGATTATGCGACATCTGCAGCTTTCAGCGCTCCGCGTTCCTTCATGCGTGCTGTCGTCTGCGGTGAAGCGTTCGGTGTTTGCGTTAACCTGGTGCGGGTCATTCTATATGTGACATGATAATGATGATGATGATGAGGGGGATGAGGAAGAGGATGCTTTGTGTTCTGAGGCAGCACAAAGCATTTAGGTCCGCCGGCCTAAGCTGATCCAGGAGGAAGAGTCTTTATGATGATGATAAATCCTCCACAGATCGTTACTGCAGCCGCAGAGGGTTGTGTGGTATTTCTGGGCTCTGTCTCAGCCGCCTCGCCGCTGAATAAACCAAGATTTCACCCCAGTCTGGAACAACGAGGATTCTGGTGTTAGTGTGTATTCCTCCTGTTTACTTCCTGATGAAGCTCCATGGATCCCCGTTTAAACCCTGCTCTGTAATGGCTGCCTGCCTCATATGTCCTTGACATACAGGACGGACTGGGCCTGCCCCGGCGTCCGGGGATGATGATGGTGGTGGTGGTGGTGGTGGTGATGATGATTCCTGGCTTCTTCTCTCAGTGTTCACAGTGGACCTTGATTTAAAATCAGTCAATTAAGGCACGCGGTGAATGCCAAGGGAGAAGCTTCCTGCTCCACTAAAGGAGGATCAAACACTCCAGCTCTTCTCCACTTTAAACCCAGCTCCTCCCTGTTTGCAGCCTCAGGCCAACAGAAACATTTTTTACACAAATGAAATACCGTTGTTATGATTCTTTAATAAAGACTTGTGGAAGTGGTGATTCCTGCATTGTTGTAAAATGAACGCAATCCACAACAGACACCACTAAAGATTACAGTGCCTGTTTTAAAAATAATAGAAATTAATTCTGATTTAGGAATTTGTGACTCAGATTAAAACAACAATCAGTCAGATAACAAGAAAATTGTGATGCAAGTCTAATTTGTGGAGAAATAAGAACTTAAATTTATACCTCTCGCCATAAGAACAGCTTCTTTCCATCTGCCGTTAGACTTGTGAACAGCTTATAAATACACAACCATGCTCGTCTTCAGTACTTGACATAACGTCACGTTATCGGCCATATTACCATTACCTGCCATTTTTATAGCAAAGTTTTATGCTAGTTTATTATATTTTATTCTACTTTATTCTATTTTTTAATTATATTATTCATGTTATATGTAGCACGTTAGTACCGAAGCAAGTTCCTAGTTTGTGAATCGTTTGTTCACTAACAATGGCAATAAACCTTTTCTGATTCTGATTCTGATTCTGATTATATTGTGTTATTTAATTATACATTTATAATAGTATCCGTATTAAAGTTGGCACTTGTAGCTACTGTACATAAAACATGATGATTAAGGTGGCATTTGATGAAAGTATTCACATAGTGCTGTTGTATAAGTCACATCTTTCCGCACCATGGGTCCCCGGAAGAACGAAAAAATGAAAGCAAGTTAATCAATAGCTGCAGACGCAGCCCCAACAAACCACGCCCCCGACAAAACACGCCTCTATACAAAAGACGCCTGCATATTTATGTCGATGTTTCGAAGACAAGAGAACTCCATGCGTGTTGCAAAACCAGGTGGAAATGACGGTTCAATTGAAGACAGGTGGTTTATATTTTTACAACTTGCGAAGATTTTGTACTTTAAATTTGAACGTTTAAGACATAGTTTGATAGATAGCGCATTAGTGATTTTTTTCTGAAACACTTTTATATAAAATTAAGCATTATTGGAAGTGGGGGAAGACATCATGGTCGCAAAATATTTTTAATATAATTTTTAATGGGCTACATGCAAGCCTTTTGGCCTAAATAAACGTAACAATGGGCTATTTATTTGACCCTGGGACGTAATTTTGGGGGGGGACGGGTGGGACATGTCCCCCCCACTTTTTCAAAAGGCAGTTTTGGTCCCCTGCACTTTTTTCCGTCCGAAAACAATGTTACGCTCCATTAAATGGATTTGGTTGAGCACTAGGACCGAAACGGAAACCGGTTTACTATTAGACCCGCCCAAAAGCTAATCTATTGGCTCTGCTGATACTTGCTAACGTATTATTGGCTGTTGCTGCTGTCACTCCAAGTAGTAAACAGAACGTGCTCACGTTGTTTTGCTAGTTTGGAGCCGCTAGGGAACACCGGTACCGAGTCACATCGTCAACTAGACGCTGTGTAATATCAGAGCTCAGCTCAGCTTCCATTACATAACATTTGAATAAGTGTTCATTTGTGAGTCTTTGGTAGTTATGCACAGCCAGGAGGCAGCATGTCAAGAAAACGAAAAGTGGATATAAGAAACTTCTTTCAAAGTCAAAACGTAAGTTGGAACATGTGACACCCCTGCATTAAGCTCAGACTCACCTCCTCCTTCACACACAAACTCAAAACTAACTTTTACAAACTCATCTCCTCCACATAACTGACTCCTCAGACACAATTTATTCGTATTATTATAATTATTATTATTATTATTATCATAATTATTATTACTAGTAGTAGTAGTAGTAGAAGTGTAACTTCAAAACTTTTATCATTTAACTTTATTGTAAACTTATCTATTGCAATGCATATTTTCACATTAAAAAGCTCTGAAAAATGAACAGTATCATCATCGTCAACAGATTTTTTTAAGCTTAATGTCAAAGATGTACACTTTTCATTAGATTTATCTTATTTTTTCCATTTATTTTTTGTGTGTTGAAATGCAACAACTGTTTAAACACTTTTAAGGGAAAAACATATTTAATAAGTTTTTATACACTCAAATGTTAGGGTGATGATCATGTGTAAAACATTAGTTCAGCATGTCCTCTAACACAGCAAATGAACAAACGGCCAGATCTCAGGAGGGACCGTTTATGTATAAATAATTTTTATACTTTTGACTAGGCCTGGGAAAGTAACACATTTTGATGGACGATATTTTGTCCAACAAATTGTTGATGATAAACGATATCATTGTCAACATTATCTAGACCAAAATAGCTGCTAATATAATGTTAATATATCATAATAATGCAAGTACACCCTTTAAAATGCAACAAATGAACCTTCATTTAACATTGAAATGTCCAGAACCAGAACTTCTAAATGAATAAAAATAACAAACAAAAATTAAATAAAAAAGGAATCTAACTCCCTGTTAGAAAATGTTGCACCAAAAACAATAAAAAAAGACCCAAAACAATAAATACAATGGCCTATCCATTGTCAACAGTCAAAACTGCACTTCAATAAGGATGGAAAAATTATTGAGATGGGCATGTGACGTGTCAAGGGGTCTTTACATAACACCCCCCACCCCAAATCCGCACAAGCCTGCTGTGTCCCCCCCACTTCTGAAATCAAAATTTCGTCCCTGATTTGACCGTTTATGACTCCTCATCTAATAAGCAGCAAACTCACGACGGCAATGTGGTAGGCCAAAAATTGTGGCGCTCAGACGTGAAAAATTTGTTAAAACGTGTGACAGAAAATTCCCTTAAAATCCATTCAGATATATTTTACATGTCAACATTTACATGTAGTTTTTTTGACAAGTAGTTGCGTGTACAGCATCCTGTAAATATTAGTCTGACGGTAACGTTTCGTATTCAGGATAAAAAGAAAAAGAAAACATGAAAGCAGCACCACGGTCAGTGAAGACCGTACTCCTGCCTGTTTGAAAATAGGTCACCACTTTCAGGGATGGAATGATTCTGAGACGGTAGTCCCACAATTATCAGTTGTTGTATTTAGCTTTTCCAATGTGTTTTGGTTGATTTGTTGATTTTAAAACGAAGAAAGTTTGATATGTTGTCAAATTTCAATGGTGGTGGTATAATAAGTTCAATCCTCTTTGGATAACTGTAAAACAAACTGATACAATTATTTGCTTTCCTCTGAGTACACAGGACACCGACCGTGTGTATTTTAAGACACCTTACAGCTAGCTGCAGACGCAGCCCCGACAAAGAGAGAGCAGGTGAATATGAGTGAAGATTATTGCATGACAACAAAATAAAATTAATTTTAACTGCTGTGCATGAAGTCATGTTTTTGTGTGTCTTGATAAAGGACAATGACGGCTGGATCAATGACTGGCGTTAGAGATGACGTGGGCATAGTTTTATACTTCGGATGTTTTGGTTTATGGTCGAATGAAAAGATGACAGATTTACCAAACACCACCAAAACCACGCCTCCGTCAGATCTGGCAGATTCTGATTGGATCAGTAAAACCAATGTGTCGTCTCTTAACGCTACGTGAGATCAGTCCTAGTGGAAACATTTAAAGTCATATTACTTATTATATTCTATAGGATTATAATAAAGTAA